TTACTACAAATCAAAACACCAGCAAATTAAATGGATCTGAAGGCTAAGATTAAAGACTTTTAGAATTAAAACACCTGTGAAGTGCCTGTAATGCAAATAGTTGTAAATATCATTTTTTTTTCTGGGGGATGGAAAAGCCCTACGCAGATGCTGTTCCCTTTCCCTTGAAAGCAAAGGCAGAAATACCCCATCGGTGCGGACGGATTAGATACACGGGCATTACGTGACACCGGTTTCTTTTCCATGGAGAGAAAAGGAGAGAAGAGGAAACGAGCTTGAACGTCACCCGTCACCAGCACTGGGAGAGGGCTTTACGGCCGTCTGGGGCTGACTGAGCTTTTGGCTGACTCAAAACTGGTACAAGACAGGAATTCAGGGGGTGGCTGGAGGAAGCCGAGGGCACTGCCAGTTCCCAGGCTCCGGTCGCAGGGACGTGCCCTGGCTCCGCCAACGCTGCTTCGCCAGCTTCTCCTCCATCAGCCACCTGAAGCGTAACACAGGACGTTATCAAAGCCTGCCTGTGTTTTTCTGTGTTCCCCGTGCTTGGATCGAAAAGCCTGCGTGGCCTTGCAGCAGATGGTGCAGCAAATATTGTAGAACTCCCACGTGAGTTTTGCAGGATCAGGCATCGAACAAGCAGATGGGAAGTGGATTGATGGGAAATTCAGTTTAGAAATTTCAGTTTAGATGTTCCTCGTGTCTCGAAGATGAGCTTCAAAGCCCACTGTATGTGTTACTTCTTTCCTCATTTCATAATGTTAGTACGTTAGCCTCTTGGCTGCCTTGCCGGCGCCCCGGGGTGCAGGAGGGGACCGTGGTGGAGCCGCGCTCCTTCCAGTGCTGCTTCTGACCGGGCACCATCACCACGTTACCCGCTGGAGCAAAGCAGTCAATGTTTTAGCAAAGCACAGCCAGCAGATAGCAGCACTGTTATATATAATATACCTTAGACTATTTCTGCTGTGGTTTCAAAAAGTCATGCAGAAACCTGGGTGCCTTTAACCCTGAGGCCACGACCCCCTCGATTTCCGCGCAGCGGGGCGGTGGGTGCGCCGGGCACCCAGCTCCCGCTCAGCTGGGCTGCAGCCTGGGCCGCCGAGGTGAGCGCTTACCTGTTATAGTTAAAGAGAAACGGTATTTCTGTAGCCTCTAAGTTAAACTGCATCCAACAAAATTTCACAGGGGGTGAAAATTTCACAGCGCGACAAGGCATGCAAGGCATCTACCCTTAAACTGAAATTGTAGCACAATGCTCGAGTGAACCTGTCCCAGTAGATCTGGAGCGTGGAGAGCATCAGGAGAGTTCGTCTTTTTCTGGGGGCCTCCAAGGCACAGCAAAAAGGCAAAACGCTGGAACCTTCGAAGGGCCACGAGTAGGAACTGGGCATCTTGCTGCTTGTGCAAGACCCATCCCGCGGCTGAGGGCTCTCGGGCATCGGGGCGGCTCTTCCCAGCCCTAAATCAATGAACAAGACATTAACAACCAGCAAACACAGAAAGGAAATACTTCTCTCTGACCTGGGATGTGCTGTTTGGCTGTGAAGGGCTTGTGATATTGCAGGGCAGGAGTTGTCTCACCTGGGAGGGTTGTACTGGTTTTATTATGAAAGGGGTGGAAGATCCATGGAGGGCCGTAGTTAATAAGACTTAATTAAAACTTGTTTGCTCTGATAAATTTGGTTGGTTTCAGGAATGCACAGAGCAAACCACCTTCAACTCATAGGAGCATTTTGTGGCCGTTCAGATGGGAAGGTATTCCTTCATTTCTGAAAGAGAAGTCTTTGATTTCAACCTGCAGAAGGGTTTGGGGGCTGCCTGGATGGGTGTCAGAGCTCTCGCTTCTGTTTCAGGCTGGGACATGGACACCTCATTTAATGGCTGTAACACATTTATATTTGTATTTAACACCTTGTATATGTATGTGCTGCCATTCTTCCCCAGAGGATGCTTTCATGCCGATTACTTTCATTAGGGCGTTTCACACCCATATGAAGGTCCCCACCAGCTAAACCGACTGTGTATGTGCTATATACAGGCTGGACATGAGATCATGAACCAGGCAAGAGCACTCACGTCAACCTTGAACCATGTTTATGGGCAAGCAGGTCGCTGTTGGAAGCTGAGATGAATTTAGCCCCCCAAAAGCCCCCAGAAGTGACCCAAAAGCAGCTGCGAGCCGGCAGGCAGCACAGGATGGCGAGAGGAGGAGGCTGCCCGGCAGACGGGGGGGGGCTGGCGAGGAAGGAATGCAAGGGGTTTGATAAGGAAGGACTAATAATAATGACCTTTTCGGCTGGGCCAGAGCTGAGCCTCCTTGTGTTTATGCACAGGCAAAAAACTTCCTGAGCTGGAAGCGCAGCCTTTTCCGCTGGCTCGGAACCGTCCCTGCTCGGCCACTGCCGCTCTCGGCGTTTCCCTCAATCTGGATGTTTTAGAGAAAGCTTTTGTTTTGCCAAAGCAGTTGACTGTAACTTTATTGTCTCTGCTTGGCTGTAGGACATACCCTGAGCTGTGAAAAATGCACCTGAAGTTTTGATTAGATCTGCTACTTCTGGTACAGTGAGTAGCGCTGATTAGATAAACAATTGCCAAAAAAAAAAAAAAAAAAAAAAAAAAAGATAATGAAATCATGCCCTGTGTAATTTTATTCCTGCAAAAAAAAAAAAAAAAAAAAGAAAAAAAGCCAAGCCCAGCTCTCTATCCGACCCCGCAGCGCAAATCAAGCATCTGGGAGAGCTTCCCCTGTGCTCTGTGGCAGCCAGAGCTCTGCGGAGAGAACGTAGTTTTGTTTTCCTGCATCTGTTCCCCTTGGAGCCAGTCTTTCGGAGGTCAGATTACCCCAAACTACAATAAAACTGGCAGCGGTGGTCTCTAGCCATATTCAGTACCCCCAAGAAGTTCTCGGTGTTCCTCTGTCCAGGAAACAAGCACGAGGAAGGGTCGGGCATCCCAGGGAGGAGGGGGCCGGGCTGGCAAAGATACCCAGCCCCAAACCTCCTCCTTTCAGTGGGGCTCGAGCATCTCCGCAAGAACAGGCACTAAAGGACTGCCGTGCATTGCCCTGCAAATTCTTTGAGGAAGGAACCATGGCTGGTGATTGTACAGTGCAAAGAGGGAGGAAGCCTTCATCATCTTCTTCATCTTCATCTTCGTGCACACACACCCACACACGTGTGCACACGCCCACCCTCCCCGGCTGTCAGGTCAGACCCCAGCCCTGCAGATCACTCCATGAGACTGGAGTCTCATTTATCCAGGAATTAACTGGGCATCTTAAACATCAGAAAATCAAACAAAGGAGGTTTAATAGTGTGACGTACGTCACTTGTCCTGCAAACGTGTTTGTTGAAAGACAGGGAGAATGTGCACAGAGCAAGGCACAGCCTTTACTCATAGTATTTCTGCTGGGAAACAGCCTCTCCGCGAGGCGTTGTCCTCTCATCGCCCTGGCACACGGCGCAGCCAGAGCCACGTGTCCCGGTGGGATAAACACACTGTTTTTCCAAGGACACAACAGAGAAGTTGATTTTTTTTTAATTTTAATTTTTTTTTTTTTCAACTGGGATTATTTACAATGAGATTTGGGAGAAGCAATTCACACCAAAACAAACAAAACCTGAAATATTTTAAACTGTGTTTAAATGACTCTTGCACCCATGAAAACAGCTCCAGATAATGATGGATGTTGCTGTCATTCCTTTAAGCACTGTACCAAAAAAAAAAAAAGCTTTCCCCTCAGGTGTTGAGCACTGAGAAAAGGTTGCAATAAATTCACTAGTGAGAGGGTAGATTAGCTTCAAGGCCCATTTTTGTCCTTATTTTGGATGTGGCAGTTGCTGCTGGTGCCAGCAGAGATCGTGGTCTGACCGGCGTCTGCCGAGCTGCAGCCTCTCCTGGTCTTGCATCATCAACACTGGGCTTGCACAACAACAGCTCTGGGAGCAGGATCAGTGCAGAGCTAGGTAGGACCCGCTCCTGCCCTTGGGATCTGGGTGTTGACCTTCACTTACCAAAGCAAAAATACTTCTTTTGTTCACGCGCCCGCTGCTGATGCAGAGGGAGAAACACTCGTAGCAGAGCCAGGTTTCTGTCCGGCACTCGTCCCACTGGGAGCACTTTGGCACCTTTTATTCCCAAAGTCCCACCCTGGGCCCTAGGAGGGGAGGCGGGAGGGGGGCGATGGGGCTGCCAGCCCCCCGGCCCCTGCGGAGCCGTCCACAGCTGGAGCAGGAGTTCTCCATCTCACCCAAGTGACTGGTGCTGGCCCTGCCTCCTCAAATGCCATCTCCGGTCCTCGACACGAAGAGACCGGGGAAGGTTTGTACTGTAAAACGACTACCTGCGTACTGGTAGGATTGAAAAAGAAACAAGTTTGAGGACTATTCACATTTCATGTGGAAAGTTTTACACAGAGCTTCACCAAATTCTGCTGGAGTAGGAAATACTAAAGAAGAGCTAAAGCACAAGAAGGGGGATTAAATGCCTGGTGTTCTTAAAAGAGGAAGAAATCCTGCACTTAAACATAAAAGTGAGATAAAAAACAACTCTATTAACGAAAATTATCTGAAACCTGAGAGGTTTTTGTCACTGAAATCCCAATTTACCTATTTTAGTCAGCCTAGCACACTGCCACCAAAAATTTTGGCTGTTTGGAGTCTGGCTCAAGGCTTCTGTAGCTTCAGTCTGCCTCCGCTTCAAAGCTGTCGAGGGCTAAGGGCACTTGCATTTCTCATCGTGTTCTTCCGACAACAAAAGCAGAGAACAGCTGCGAGAAAGTGTCTTGTGTGGTCAACGGGAGAAGCAGGAGGAGACAGAGAAGCAGGTCTTTGGCAGCTCTGGTGCTTAACATGCTTTAGGCTGATTTTGAAGTTCTTCACAGAAATAATAATAATAATAAAAAAAGATCTGCAATTCCCTAGCTGTCCATGGAAAACTCTTGTCCTCCCTTGTCTCTCCGCTCCCCTCGCGGTTCGTGCTAAGGATGCGCGTCTCCGCCCGGTTCACATTTCGGTGTCGGCGGGGCTGTGCTGCCTGGCGGAGTGCCCGTTTTTGGAGGATGCTTGGCCGGTCCCGTTCTCCTGAGTCCCACCGTTGAGGTTTGGCTTCTCCTGCAGCTCAGGTTGCTCTTGGGAGGGCATCATCAACATCGTGTTTCCCTGGCTACCGTTTTCCGTGTAATACGGGTCTTCAGCCTAAACAGGTACATAAATAACAAAGGCAGAGTTAGGGAAGGGAAAGGGCTGACAGCAACCGGCTTTGATTGCAGGCGGGGGCTTGGCTGGCTGCCTGCGCTTCCCGGACCCGAGGTACAAACAACTGCAGGCATGGGAACCTGTTTTCGCTGACAAGAAGGGGAACAGAGAGCCTGAACCATGCCGTGGCAAGACAAAGCAAGCAAACCA